GTCAAGGACAGGGGGAGCCCTCCCCGCTGCTTACCCTGCTTTCCTCTGTGCTCCATCTCCCCACTCCACACAGTCCTTGCCCGCAGCTTCTCCTCTGTGTGGGCGTGGATCAACTCCAGTACAAGTGTGAACTGTTTGAGGGAGCTTGATGATCGATGACTAAGACAAATGGCCACCATCATCCTGCAAGTCTTTCTGAGCAAGTCTTTCTGACCATCCTGTTCCCTGTAGACCTTCCTCCTAATGCCCCGATGGCCTTACCAGTTCTAAGCTTCCTGGGTTGTAAAACACGGAACAACAGCTGATTTCAAACACTTGGGTCTGTGAAGGCACTTTTCTGTTGCAAGTCTGTCTATATACAAACGCTTAAAGTTAAGATTTTGACTTTAAAAATATTTTTAGGTAAGATGACTCATCCCAGCTCTTGCTGCCCAAGTCTGATAACCTGAATTTGATCTCCAGAACCCATGTAAAAATGGAGGACTTCTGACACAACAAAGTTGTCTTCTGACATCCACACATACGTGCAAATAATAGTAATAACATTTAAAAATTTAAAAACAAAGTTTATTTAGATCAACAAATGCAAGCATTCCCACATGAAACCCAGCTGATTTGTGTTAAAGAAAACTCAAGTACAGCCTTTGAGTCGGACTTTTGGTCTCTTTTAGTTCTTTTGCTCACTGGCCTTGTGACCTTGTGTGGGGCCTGTTCCCATATTTCTGATTGGAGCAGTGGAGGATATCCAAATCATCCAAATGCCATGGAGGGTGCAAATCATAGTGTATTTACAGCTGTCAAGTAGTGTGCCGTGCCAAGCACAGAGGTGGCTGGTCATCTATGGGTTGTGATGACTATGTATTGTGTGGAGAATTGTACACGTTCAAAGGGAACCACCAGCTCACATGGTCTGTGCCCTTCTTGTCCTTGTGACTCAGCTGCTAGAGAAGTAAGGCCCGGTACTTCCGCAGAATTCAACCCTGTGTCTCTAAGCCAGAGGCATCTCTCCCTGATTCAGTCTTCTCCCAGCTAGAATGGGCACATGATAGCATTCCTGCCTTCTGGAAGGTCTGCCACAGGACAAGTTAGTGCATGCAGAGCTTTGAGATGCTATTTGCCCTGAAGGGGGCTCTGAGTAAGGCTTTATTGGTGGTGGTTTTAAATGTGCTCTTAGTGCATTAACTTGAACATTGCAAATACTTAGAATCAGCAGCTAGAGACTGTTGGGGCATGGTTGTTGTTCTAAGTATCACTTACCAGTCATTTTTAATAGGAAATCTCTCACCATCAAATGACTAGAACTAAGGAAGTGCTGAATGGAAGTCTTAGAATAAGGTGGAAGGGTGGTTGAAGGAGACACCTGATGTCAACCCCTGGCTTCTACGTGGCATATACACGTGCCTGCACACACAGAGAAACCTTAACGTTTTCTTGTTGCCTTTCATGCCTGGCATTCAAATATTTTATATAGTATGCTAATGCTGAGTTGTAATACCATTTTAAATGAATTCTTTGATGAGTTCATGCCTGTGTACAATCTATTTTGATCAGCTTCCCCTATACTCACAGACACTATTACCTACCTCCCCCCACTCAGTTAATCTCTTCTTTTCATAACTCACTAAGTCTGGTGCGGTCCTCATGTGCAGGAGTATAGGGTTGTCCACTGGAGCTTGGGCTTCCAACAGGCGGCTTCCCTGAAGACAATCTGCTCTCCCAGCAGCCTTAGGGGAGGGGCTACTGATGTTTAGTAACCTTTTAACTTAGCAAGAATTACATTTAGTCCTGAGAGAGCTTCACTTAGCAAGAATTACATGTAGTCCTGAGAGAGCTTCACTTAACAAGAATTACATGTAGTCCTGAGAGAGCTTCACTCCTTATTTGTTTGTTTTTGGAGACAGGGTCTCTTTGTGTAGCCCTCACTATCCTAGAACTCATGGATGCTTCCCAAGAGCTAGGATTAAAGGTGTGTGCCACCACAGCCTGGCTGCTTCACTCCACTTTAGTGAACTCACTGGATGGAAATTTGCTGTGGTGGAGCAGGTGAAGGTGGGGTCATGTTTGTTAAACTTCTAACTGAAACCTCTTGTCATTGTCTTCTTGTAAAGCAGAGGCCCTTGCTCCTGCTCTCATCTACAGTGCCATCACTCCCTTGCAGATGCCTGTGACCTGGATCTCTTTTTAGCTTATGCGACTTTCTATGTTAATCTTCCTGGTTCCTTATCAGAGCTGTTTTGGAGATGAAGCTTTAAGTAGATATGTCTGTTTCTCAACTCATAGCAGATTGCTACACATCCCAGCTTAAAGCAACAGGTAGACAATCTTATGGTTCCGTAGCTTGCATGCCCTAGCCCCGGCTGTCCACCATGTATAGATAAGTATGTTGTGCAGACCTTCTAGGGAAAAATCCATTCATTATGCCTCACCCCACCTCTTTGGCTCTTCTGCCTCCTTCATTGTGTCAGAACCTTCGTGATGACACTGGGCCACTTATCCAGAGTGAGGCTTTGATTTGACGGTCAACGGTCTACTCGCAGGTGACAAACAGGGTTAGGCATCTTTCCAGAGTAGAGTAGAAGGGCCGTCCTGGGGTTGTCTGGGAAAGTACTTTGCTTCCTGCAGTTGGTAGAGCTATTTTGAGATTATTTAGTACCTCCTGTTCATTTAATATTCGGTGGGAGTTTTGAGAGACTGGTGCTGTTTTCACCAAAACAAAACAAAAAAACCTGTAGCCAGAAAGTTTCGGGAAAGACAGAATCTTCACTATTACTCTCTGAGAGTTTCCATTCTGCCCAAGGAAAGTCAGGCCATGGCCCCAGCATGGGCATGGTGTTGTCAGGAGGGAGCAGGCACTGTCACAGGTACACACGCAGCCCTTTGAGAGGGAACATTGTTGAACAAGGAAGAGCAGGGTGTACGTAGCACAGTTGGGTGAAGATCGGGTCCTGTGCATGTACAGATGGTGGGAAGCCCTGGGCTCCAAGCCTGCAGTCTGAACTAGACTAGACCAAGACCTTGCAGCTATTTATGTAGTGGAGAACTTGAACTGCCGGATTTGGAATTCTGGTTCCACTCTTGAGACACATGTTGGTGCCCACCCCTCCAAGCCAAGCTGCATCCTTTAGCTAAGTGTTTTAAAGCTAGAACAATACAAAAACTCTACCATCTACCTCCCTTCCTTTTCATAGTCTGCATGGCCTATCAAGTGTTTATGACTCCTGGTAAGTAGGCAGGGCTTGACACAGAAGAATTGCTTTATCAGATCTATCTTGTCATGTGAGAGACTATGCTTGTACAGTTTATAATTTTTCCCCACTGGACTTAGCAGTGAGATTTTATGATGCAGCTTGGATAAGAAGTCGGAAAAACACGAGGAAGGCATCTGTGGTAACTAGGAACCATGCCCAGTGTGGACTCAGACCTGAGCTTGAACCTGAGTTCTGTATGCTGAGTGTGGGACCTGAGACATGTTCTCTGCAAGGTTCATATTCGTAATTGAACGTGGGAACGGTGCTAGTCAGTGAACGCAGCAGGGCCCTTGCAAAGAGGAAAGAGACTATATTTGAAAGTGGGAGTTCCTGCCGGTGTTGCATAGCCTTGGTCCATGTTTATTAAACACGTGGACATTCTAATCATACTTGTGGTTTTTCTCTTGCCTTTTAAGTCTCCTAGAGCAACCTTTCTGAACTGCACTTTTACTACTAGTCAGGGCCCTGTGGGAAGCTGGACTAGCCAACGCCACACATCTCCAGACAGGCCTGGTGTGTTGTCTCGTGTGAGAGTGCTGGCTGTCTTCAGTGCCTCCTGTGCATAGACTTGTGAGGAACACTGTGCAGGCCTCCTGGGAGACTGGCGATTAATCTGAAAAGTGGAGCCTGTATATAAAGGCTGTATCAGCACAAACAGCAAGCCACATGGGAGGTGTGCAGAGGTCCTTTTAAATGCACAGCCAATGAAAATTATCCTGCATTGGTCTTAACAGAAAACCTTATGATGCCGTGGAAGTTCAGCAGATCTGTCAGCAGGAGCACAAAGGCAAGAGTGGAGGGAGGCGAGATGAGCAGCAGTCACAGGCCACTGAGCTAGTCATTCTCTTCTCAGAACACTCGTCCCCAAAGACTGTGACCTGACTTTGGATTACTAACTCCCCACTGGCACACAGGTGCTCTAGAGCAGCGTTGCTTTAGTTTCCAGTACTGGGGATAGAACCAGGCCCTGGAGGATCCCAGATAAGGGCTCCTGTGCCTAGGCTACACCAGCAGCTCCAGAATAGGGGTTATTACACGCGAAGCCAGCCATATCAAAGGAAGAATTTCACAAGCTCTTGCTCCTTGCTCGTCTGTGGGAGCACCCACAAAAAGGGTGAGGACCCTTGTAAGTTTAAATCATTGTCCAAATCATCTCTAACTGTGCTGCTCCCAGAAGACCTGTTTATATACCTGCAGCTTCAGCCTCAGGATCCATCCCCTACAGCACCTGAGAGAAGAAACGATTGTCTGTGGATATAGAAATAATACACTAAAAAACAAACAAACAAACAAACAAAAGAAAAGAATTGCCCCTTATTGAGCTCATGAGGTGCACTGTCTGGTATATTCTGTACTTTCCTTTGGCATTACCTGTGCCTAAAATCATAGGTCCTTATGGTTAGAGGAAGAAGCAGCCATTTGTAAGAGACCAAGGCCCATGACAGCTAACATGGTTGAGTTAGTGTGGTAGTGACTGTGAGATCCTAAAACCAAAGTTGTGAGTCGGGTATTGTGTCTCATGCCTGCCATCCCACTACTCTGAGTATGGGGGGCAGGAGGATCACAAGTTCAAGGCCACCCTGAGCTATAATAACTGGACCTTGTTTTAGCACAACCCTCCTCCCAGCAAAATTTTTGAAAGTTTCTGAGTTCTCAGTTGGAGTCTCTGAGGCTGTGCTCTACTGTGTGGCAAAGTGTGCTCACTCCGTGTACACCTGTCCTTATACAATGTTGCCATCTTTCCTGTTGCAGATTTCTCACATTGGGAAGCTGAGAGATTTTCTCCTGGAGCACAGGAAGGAGTATATTAATGCTTACAGGTAAGTGGGTTCTTGTTTCCATGGCTTGGCTGGCTGCATTCCTTTCTGTTGGACATTCCGCTTTTTTTTTTCCCCCTCCCTTTTTACTAACTCGCACTTGTAGTGGGGAAGTTCAGTGTCCTGTTTGCTTTCTACTACAGTGATAATACCATGACCAAAAGTAACCTGGGAAGCAAAGGGTTTACTTCACCTTATACTTCCATATGAAGGTCTGTGCTTGAGGGGGCTCAGGCCAGGACCTTAGCTAAGCAGGAGGCAGGAGGCAGGAACTGAAGCACCGGCTTCGGAAGAACACAACTTACTTCCCATGGCTTGTTCATCCTACTTTCTTATACACCCTGGACCACCTGCCTGGGCTGACACCACATCAATCATCAATGAAGGAAATGTCCTACATCTTTGCCTACAGAAAGTCTGATGGAGGCATCTTCTCAATTACATTCCCTCTTCCCAGATGACCCCAGTGTTGATAAACACTGCCCAGCCCTTCAGCTAGGCTATAGGGGAATGAATATCTCTGCAGAGTGAGCAGAACCACCATGGCGGGTTTGTGCCAGGTCACATGTCAGCACCAGACTCTTCTGGTCTGTGCATTTCTCTGTCTGTACCATTTTCTACTAGAGGATGACACTCGCTGTCACTAGTTTGTAAATTTTGTTGTCAGAGGCCTTATCAATTTCTCATTCATAATTCTTTAATGTTTCAGCTATTTGTTGCACCCACTCAGTATTTGTCAAATAAAACATGAATGATCCACTCATATCCCTGAGGCCCATGACTAGCCACTGGTTCTTGCCCACAGGTATTTTGGCAACATCTTAAGAGGTTTTGCCATAACAGGAGAGGAGTGCTGTTGGCAAGGGCATGCCAAGCATCCTGCAGCGCACAGCACCACCTTCCACAGCCACGGGGCAGCTGGCATTGACCCTGAAGGGCCTTCCCCTGCCTGACCTGCTCACTCTCTACACATATATGGATCTGTGAACACCTGCCCAGGGCCTTCTGCAATTGTAGAGGCTTTGAGAACATCAGGGAGTGAGGTAGAAAACTGTCTCTCCTTTTTGCAGCCTGCATGCTAGAGGGTTGGCAAAGAATTTATGGTAACAGTAAAGACAGGATGGAGTGCTGGGGTGGTAGCGCTGGGAATGTTTGCAGTTTTTATGTAGTATGGTCAGGCCGGGCTCCTTAAGGCCTGCATAGAGAGTAGACTCCTCTCTGAAGCTTGACCTCTCTGGCAGGATTGAGTCCTTCCTGCCTTGCCTCTCTCTTCCTCCTTTCCATTCCCTGCAGAGGTGAAAGGGCCACTTGTGCCCTGTTCTCCCAGCCCCAGCGCTCCTGAAATCCAGCTACATACAAGGCCCCATTGGTTTTGAAGATTTGGCTCTCCTCTTCACTCAGCTCGCCTCCTCCCTAAGCCACACTGTTTCATTTCACTGCCAGACAGCCAGGTCTACCAACTTTCTGAAAGAGGGTTAGCTCCGCAGATTTTGTGGGCCACTCATGCTTTCTGTCACATGTACTGTTTGTTTATTACCTTTGAAAAACAAAAACCAAAAAAACATGCTCAACTGCCAGATTGCACAGAACCAGACCTGAGGGCTAGATTACACTCCCACTACCCTCAGCATTTGCTGTGCTAGAACCCTGTGCTGTCCTCTCTCTCCCAGGGTTATTTTCTGACTTGCTCATCATCAAATCCAGCGGTTTCTCTCAAACTGTGTGTAAATGGAGTCACACAGTGCAACCCACGTTCCTACCTTCTAGGAATAAACAGAAAACCTGTTTATTCTCATAGTTTTGTATTTTATATTACATTGAGCTGAATTATCATAATTTTGGTTATCCATCTGCATAAGAAAGAGGTGTTTCCAGTTCTGTGCTACCGTTAAGTGGAGGAGCTGCTGTGACTGAGCACCCTCTGAAGTCTTTGTGGACATTAATGTTTGTAAATAGCTAGAAAAGAGATTGCTAGGTCGGTCATCTGGTGGGTATATGTTTAGCCTTAAAACAAACTCCCAAGCCAGGGCCCAGTGGTGCAGTGGATAGTGCTTCTGATTGTGGACTAGAACCTTTTGCAAAGTGATTTCACACAATCTACAACAGAGGAGAGTTGGCAGTGCCCCATATACAAACCAATGTGTGGTGTGGGCAGGCTTTCATTATTGTCATTATAAGTAGTGTGAGAAAGCATCTCATCGTGCTTTAAATTAGCTCCTAAGATGGCTTATGCCCTTGGCTTCATTAAAGTGTGGTTGTCCCTGGGTGTACATGGGACATTAGATCCTGCCTCATAGAGATTCAATACCCTCACAGAAAGGCGTAATGTATGCTTGCGTGTGCTTACTGGAATCTCCTATGGATGACTGATGGTGTCCAGCACAGACCGGGTCAGTGGTCTTGAAATACCTTCTGCTGTAGCATAAAAAACAGAGAAGAGCCCATGTATTCTCAGTGTAGATGCAGTCATCTTACTCTGAATTTCTAGAACAGTATGGAATCTGCCCATAAGAATGCACTGCAAATGCAGAGGACCAATTGTATTTTCAACTCCTGTGCCTATTCTAGTTTTTTTTTTTTTTTTCCTTATCCTTAACTTCCACCATAGAACTTTGGGTTTTTTGTTTTGTTTTGCTTTGCTTTTGGTTTTTTGTTTTGGTTTGGTTTTTGTTGTCGTTGGCTCTTTTATCTTATTTGTCTCCACTTTGCATTTGAAATGTACCATAATTATTGTGTTAGTCAGATTTTCGTTCCTGTGACAAATACCTAAGAGAGAACTTAAACATAGAGATGGCTTATGTTGTTCCCTGATTCCAGGTTTCAGTTCATGGTCAGTTTGCTTTATTGCTGTGGCAGTATTGCTTTATTACTGACAAGGCAGAAAGTCATGACAGAGAGTTTGGCAGGATGAAGTTGCTCACATCTCAGCCGCCAAGAACTGAGAGAAATGGGTCCCCCCCCCCTTCAAAGACATATCTACTGATACGCTTCCTTCAGACAGCAGCAGCTCCTTGATGCTGTTTGTGGACTGACAATTCAATCATGATTCAGTACTTACCAGCTGGGGACCAGACCTCCAACACAGGCCTTTTGAGGACCATTTTATAGTCAGATCTTTGTAGAATATTCCTTTATACCGTGTGAAGATGTGTCACTGTGATTGGCCAATAGCTATGCTGGACTTCTGGGAACAGAGAGGTTTCAGGGAAAAAGAAAGATGGAGTTGTCAGCTGGTTGCAGAGGAAGCAGGATCTGCAGGAGGAGAGGTAAAAGCCACAAGCCACATGGCAGCACACAGATGACTAGAACTTGGCTAATTTAAGTTATAAGAGCCAGTTAGAAACAAGCCTAAGCTAAGGCCAAGCTTTCATAATTAATAAGTCTCCATGTCATTATTTGGAAATTGGCAGTACAGAGAAAGACTTGCTACATCAGATGGCAGTTCTCTGCCCCCTCATACACGAAAGTGTCATTTGCCCATCTGTGAGGTGCATTCCTGAGTACTAATGCATATTTTGTCTCATTTAGTCCTTGAATTCCCTCTGTTCATCTGTACTGACTGCCTCCCACTTGACAGACATTTTACTCTTTGTCACACAAGCAGGTAGCACTGTAAGCAGGACGGGCATCACAAAAAAAAAAAAAAAAAAAAAAAAAAAAAAACAGAGCTCAGGGGCTTGGAAGACCTTGGCCTTGCCAGAAAACATGTCTTTGAAGAAGTGACACTTGAGCTGAGGTCTGTAGGAAGAGGAGTTAGCCAAATGACACAAAGGAGGGAAAGAATCTGTGTGTCAAGTGAATATCCCTGCCGGCACCTGGGCATAGTGCCTGGCCTGTTGTGAAGCCTGTGGCTGTGCTGAGAGACTGCTGACTCAGCAGCAGAAGGGGCGCTGCGTTAGCTGAGAGCCAAAAAAGCATTTGACCAGAACATCCAGAATGGTTTCTGGCCTTGATTCTAGTTGTCAGCACACAGGAGCACTGGGGTGCTGGTCCTGCCCTGGCTGCAGTTGGATTCATTGTGGAACTCACTAAGCCATCAGAATCGCCCATGAAGAATTTGCCACAGGAGTGACAACTCCGCAAGCCTCCTCCTCAGACTCCAGCTATAGGAAACAAGTGTCTGCACCTCAGGCACTCCACTTAAAAAAAAAAAAGTCTGTGCCAAATGGAAATAGTTTATACACATTCCTCAACAGAGAAACTCATACCCCAGATGAATATAAGCAGTCCCCAAACTTAACACACAATTTTATGCTTTTAAACATATTTCATTCTATTGTCCCAAAATACCCTGAGATGTTAGCCTGCTGCTGTCTTAAGTCCTCTGTTAGCTGACTGGTGAACACTAGATGGCAGTGTAAATTTTATTTCTGAAGGTGTGTCCATGTACCAGGTACTAATTCAGTAGGTTGCTAACTAGAAACTGCAATGATTTGAGGAAATGCAAATGTTTGGAGCCTAGCAATTTCCAGCTCCTTCCCTTGTCTCTAACTACTCAGGCTGCAGGTGCAATTTTATAGACCTTTCTTAGAAGTCTTTTGCCTTCCCAGTGGCATTCACACAGGCATGCTATTCCTGTAGCCTTCCGGGCTTGCTAGACATGTGTGGAGCTCTGTGATAGCATTGCCAACTGACCTGACTGGACCCTGAGTCATCTAGGAGATAAGCCTCTGAGTGCCTGCCGGGAATTATGTGGGTCAGGTTAACTGAGTGGGAAGGTGAACCTTAGCTGTAGGCAGAACCCTTCCCTGGGGTGGTTGTGAACTGTTTGAAGTAGAGCGAGTCGAGCACCAGCTTTGATTGCTCTCTGCTTCCTGGTTGTGGATGCAGTGTGACCATCTGGTCCAAGCTGCCTCTCATGCCTTCCACAATGGACCATACCTTGAACAGTGGACTGAAATAAAGCCTTTCTCTCGTAAGTTGCTTTTGTCACAGCTAAACGAAAAGAAACTAAGAAGGATCCACCCCATTAAGGGGCACAGTACAAGAAGAATGAGGATGCTTTATATGCCCAGACTAAGCCAATTTTCCACAAAAGCCAAAACTACAAAGAACGTGTGAGGAGGCTTGAGAGTGTTGAATGTAACTGCAAACACAAGAAAATTCTGGCTGTTAAGAGATGTAAGATTTTTCATGAGGAAAAGAAAAAGAAGAGAAAGGGTCAAGAGGTCCAGTCCCAGTTACTTTTGTAACAAAGACAATACAATTCTGGGGATTCATCCACATCAAAAGTTAAAGGCCCCTTATTAACACTCCTATTGCCTTAGAAAAGCAACTGGCCAGGTAGATGATGAGGGTTAGAGAAGGCTAACGCTCAGGCCACCCCTAGCACTGTAAGAGTCACTGAAAACTACCTAATCTCCAAACTGCAGTGTCTTGTTCCAGGCTAGGTTCAGCCCACTGCCAGTTTCTATACAGGCTGCTAGCTAGGTCAGTTTCATGTGTGTAAATGGTTGGGGGTGAGATAAAGGAAGATAACTTTTTGTCACATTTGAAATGATGTGAAATCCCAGTTTCAGTGCTGTTGGGAGAATGGTGCCGTTGTAGGATCTGAAGATGAGTGTGATGGAAGGAGGGACAGAGCAAGTTCCCAGGGTCCCCAGACTGCACAGCTGACTGGCATCCCACTTCAGCCCACGGCAGCCCCAAGCCTGTCTCTTCCCAGCCACCATGGTAGATAATTCTGTGGCTGATGACCACACCCCTTGGGACTGGGACTTCAGCATAAGCAAGCACATCCTTAACCCCTTTGAGTACCACTGTGTCCCTGAGGCCTCTTCATTAACCAGCCCAGCATTTTGTAGATATTTAGTCTTCTCTGCTAGCCCTTACACTATAGTTCCAGGCTACCCTGGTCTTCTGCCTTTGAAAGAACATGGGCTTTGGGACCAGACAGCCTTCTGCCCAGTTTGGCTGGGTATCAGTCAGTGTGTACAATTCACATCACTCCTCTGTGCTTTTTTTCTTTCTGATGCAATGTGAACCATGGTCTCATGAGGATTAAATGAGGAATAAATGTGAATTCCTGGCACACCAGAGTCCCTTGGTGAGTGACGATTGAGTTAACTGATGACCCGTGATGCCCTGACCATCAGATGGGGGTAAGCTAGGCTAACAAGCAGAGCTTAAAGTTGTAGGTGAGTTTGTGATATTCTGGGCCTAGGCTAGACTCAGGTTAGTGCTGCTGAGCAGTCCTAGTCCTGGCTCCCAGCTTGCAGGGCCCGCTGCCTTTGCTAGGAGAGACTGGAATAGAGGGAACCTCTGCTCTCTGTGGGATGAGGGTGAGATGGGGGTGGGGTAGGGCTAGGTGCATGCCCAGTTCCTTTGGCCAGGGTCCCCATCAGGGAAATTCCTGCTCCTCTGTTGGGAGACTGAAGAGGGAGAAGAAGCCTGGGTTCACTCTGGGGAGTCTAATGCACACTGAAGTTCCCGGACAAGGGACTGGTGTCCCCACACTGTGCTATCCCTGAAGATGGGGACAAGCCTCCCTCGTCCACTCCTGCCAAGTTCTCTTTCCCTACGGTTGAGGAGTGTTGCCAGCCTTTCAGCTTTACAGTCCCCTCCCAGTGCAATGTGCTGGCCTTGGCCTGCTCCTAGGAACATTTTATAAGCAGTGTAATCACAGAATTGAAAGAGCATGGGTAGAAATATTGCCTTCAGACCATGAGGCTTTGTTAGTTTGACATAATTAGGAAGCTATAATTTTTTCCAGAATGTAGAGCTCAGACTTTATTGACCCATTTAATTTTTTTAATAATGACATTTTACTAGAGCAGAACAGCATGCAGCCTAGGCAGCCTCTGGCTGGATCTTAGAATGACCTTAATTAAAATTATTTCTCCACTCTGTACCTTTTCCATGATACCCTGGCAACAAAACAATGCCATTTGGGAAAACAACTTTGTTGGTTTCTGTTGTTGCTACTAAAAGAGTAACCGCACCATCAGTTTCCAATATCCAAGGTCAAGCAGGTTCGTGTAATGTATCTGAGGATGCCCCTCCTCTTAGAGTAATCAGTATTCTTAGATTAGCCTTTAGACCTTCACTCTCACTGAGCTGGGCTCCATTATCTGGGAATGTGGAGTCAGAGGATATTAGTCCAGTGCTGTTTAGGTCCACCCCAGTGGCAAGTTGCGTATTCTGCCAGAAGCCAGCGCCTTTCTGACTTGGAGCCTGTGACCCCTTTAACCTCATTGCTCCCAGAAGAACCACTCCGACTACAAAGTAGGGAGAAGTAACTGGAAGTAAGGAGTTGCTTATTTGGATACCTGAGAAAGAACATTCCACAAGGAGTACCAGGGCTTTTAAGGTCCATGTGCAACACGCATGGAAGTTAGAGGAGCAGAAAGCCAGTGAGCCTGAGCCAAGGGCTGGGGTGGGTGAGATAAGCCAAGAGAGGTCCTCAAGAATGGGCTTGTCTCTCTTAACAGCCTTTGCTGTTAGGAGCTCTGGAAAGCCTGTGCATAGGGCTTGGCAGGATCCAAACCTGTCAAAGCATCCGTGTGGCTGCTGTGGAGAAGGCAAGGAGGGCTGGGCAGAAGCAGCAGACCCTGGAGGCAGCTTCAGTTGCAGACTGGATGGAAGATGTTGCTGGGTGGATCCTGGGGAATTTTCTGAAGGTAGAGCCAACAGGATATGTAGATAGATGTATGCTGTGTGTCTTGTGCTCTTAGAACACAGCAGAGGAGAGAGCCCTCTTGTAAGTGTTCGGGCTCCCCACTGTAAAGCCCCAAGTTTGGCCTAACGCGTTTGGCTCAGTACCAAAAGCTCCTCCTCTCCAGACTGGGCCTTCTGTCCTGGGTGTGATGTGTGTTTGTGTTCACAGACCTGCATCTAGGCTTTTCCTTTGCCTCCATGCCCAAGCAGTTCTTGTTGCCTGTCAGCGTCTCTCGGGTCTATCACCTGCACACCCCCATAGACTCTGTCTGCACTTAACCTTTCTGATTCTCTGGGACAATGGCAGTGGTTCCTCAACTGTCTGCATCACCTGAGGTCAGAATTCTTCTTCAGTCTTGAGACGGTCTGCTATGGAGAAACCGTGTGCAAATGACTGTTTATAACCCTGCTGATGAAGACAGCACTGAGGGTGGAGGGTGGAGTGTCTGTGTATGGGTTTTAAGTAAATGCTTACTGTAGCACTGTCTTATGAGGAATGGTGCCGCCATGTGCCAGACGCATCAGTGTGGAGACACACTGAGTGCATGCCATGTGCCGCCCCTCTCTGGAACACAGCACCAGCCTTCTGCTCCCTTCCCATTTCACTCACACATGCCTAGGTGTGAAGTAGATAGTATATGTTCATTCAAACCATCACTCACAGGGTGGGGAACCATATCTGGTCCTTGTCTCCATCCTCTGTCAGGGCATGCCTTCTACTCCACCTGCTCTGCCAAGCACCCCATCCCACATGAGGTGACCATGCCCCACTTTGAGCTCTGCTGCCCACTTCCATCCACATCAGCACCAGTCAGTGCAGTTCCTGCACTCTCTCTTTTCATGTTGACCACTCCTGCAGGTTGATGACCACACCCCTGGGGACTGGGACTTCAGCATTAGCAAGCACATCCTTAACCCCTTTGAGTACCACTGTGTCCCTGAGGCCTCTTTATTCTTAACCAGAAATGAGCCTCACTCAGTTTTGAACCCCAGCTTAGTATTTACCCTAAGAGGGCTCAGGACATACACAAAGGAATGAATACTTGTGGAATTTAATAAGAAGTCAGATACACACAAAGCACCGAGGACTAACCTAGTATGTGCTTGCTGGTATTAGTCGGGCACTCTGTGCTGCATAATTTTACCAGGGAGGCAGACACAAGGCAGACAGTCCTTGCTTCCACATAGCTTTGGAGGAGAAAAACAGATTCCTTGGCATTCCTGAGAACAAGAAATGCAATGGACAAGCACAAAACAGGGTCAGAAAGAGATACAGCACAGCAGAGGTGACGGTCAGATGGTCCCAGCTCTGTCCTAAAGTAGAGTAGTAGAGGGCAGCTTTGGAGTGGAGACTCAGTAATCTCTTGACAGGCAGAGCATGACAGAGTAATGTTGGGTGAGTTCCGAGAGAGGCCAATGTTTCTGGAGTGAGGTAGGTGATGGGACAGCCCAGTGATGAGAGTGGAAACCTGTAACCTGGGTCACGGGTGAAATATGATGTCCTCATGGCTAGATGGGACAGGTGAGTGAAATGGGGTGGTTTGAGTATCTTTGTGACATACATGCCCTTTCAGCTTGTAGCATTGTGAATCTGAACTTCAGTTTTCTCGTCCACAGTTTTGAAATAGGCTAAGGAGTATCCCTGTTACTGTGCTGCCGCACTCATCCAGCTCTTGGGAAGGTGAGCCAGGTGCTCTGTGCTGCTCAGAGCTTGTCACTGAAAGTAGAGGCCCTCATCAGCCCCGTCACTTCAGGACGGTTTAACTTGACAGCAGGGGAGATGAAATGTATTTCTAGAGGCTTTTTATTGTGACTTTGAAAACTGCTTTCTAGAATCAAGAAACAACAGCTTTCTCATATGTTTCAAGCACCCCGGATCATGACCCTGCAACATGCATGGTCAGTGCTTGGACTCGACTGGCATTGTTGGGTTATGCAGTGCTCAGTCGGAGCCTCTGTTCCTAGCAAATCTGTGTGTGTAAGAGTGGCCTGCGTCTGTGGAAGCTGTTCAGAATCTGCACCACATGGGCTCTGCTGTTGGTCTGGCCAGACCCCTCCAATTCCCCGCTTTGGAGTCACTTGGCCAGAGGACCCTTTCCTCCTGACACTCTACCTGGACTCATTATGTTCTCACTGATGCCCCCCTCACATTTTCTTCTCTTTTAGCCATACCATGTGTGAATATGGGAGAATGACGGACGCCGAGCGAGACCAGATAGACCAGGATGCTCAAATATTCATGAGGACCTGTTCAGAGGCAATTCAGCAACTCAGAACAGAAGGTGAAGTGCTCTGAAAGATGCCAACAGATCCCATGAATGTGCCAACCAGCTAAACTACTCACAGCCACTTAGGATCCCCTCTTACTTTCTGGATGGCATTTAGGACTTAAAACTCGAAAATTCTTCCTTCCTGGTCAGTCTTCTAAGCTAAGCTGTTCAAAATCCTGAAAAGAAGGTCGCTCAAGTTAAATAAATGGCAGGCAGGAATGGAAAGGATCTCTCTAAATATAATCTGTAACCTACCAAAAGGCCAAGGTCAGAGGGAACAGATTGTATGTGTGCAAGCGTTTGCATATTTGTGGAGACATGCTTGTGTGACTATGTTCTGAGTGGCAGGACAGATGGCGTGCACGTGGTTAAGGATGGAACAGTAGTCTCTAAGATCTAGTTGTCCTATTAAAGTCAACCCCCATATAAGACTTCACAGTCGAGAAGAAGCTCTGCAGCCATGACTTAAAAGCAGTGCACCCCAGCTCTGCTATACGCTAGGCCTGTGGTCTTGGACAAGTCATTTCATCTCCCTAGGCTCAGCCTCTTCACTGAAACAGTGCAGACAGTGATGGGGTATATCACTTAAATTCTTAAAGCATGCCTGGCACTAGGGGCCTAGTATTATCTCCCCTCTTCTGGGTTTCATTCCTGAAGAGGAGCTAGGCTTCCTAGCCACGTGTCTTCCTTGATTTTTAAGCACATATATTAATACTACAGAGGTCAAAATTGCCAGGTACTCTTGGGCTCGCGGCTGACTTCTCGTAGAGCAGCTTCTGAGAGAACACTGATCAGCCACTGGGAGTGTCTGATGAAAACTTACCAGAAAAATATGCATCACACAAAATTATGTATGCAGCATTGCAGAGTACCCAAACCAGCATGAGTCCCATGTTACATAGCCCTCTAGTAAAAACATAACCCATGCCCCATACTCTTAAGTGCATAGACATTTGTGACCGTAGGTTACCTCTTGTCTCTGAACCTCAGTTGGCTCATTTGAGGTATTTCTGTGAAGTCCTAGCATCATCCCTGCACACTAGGCACCCTGCCTTTCCACCAGTAGCAGAGTCATACCATAGGAACTGGCATAGGCTTCCCTGTGGTGAGCTCTCACCCATTGGCTCATCAGTGTAAAAGGTTGTTGGACCCTGATATCAACCCACACACCTATGAACACCTAATTTTTGACAAAGAAGCTGAAAATATAAAATGAAAAAAAGAAAACATATTTGACAAATAGCGCTGGTATAACTGTCAACATCTAAAAGAATGCAGATAGATCCATATCTATCTCCATGCACAAAACTCAAGTCCAAATGTATCAAAGACATCAATATAAATCCATGCACACTGAACCTTATAGAAGAGAAAGTGGGAAATAAATTTGAATGTATGGACCAGCACAGACACTGAAAGCAACAATTAATAAATGGGACCTCCTGAAACTGAGAAGATTCTGTAAAGCAAAGAACACAGTCAACAAGACAAAGCAGCTCCCTACAGAATGGGAAAAGGTCTGACAGAGGGCTGATCTACAAAGAACTCAAGAAACTAGAAATGAGACTACCAAATAATCCAGTTTTAAAAAATGGGATACAAATCTAAGCAGAGAATTCTCAACAGAATAGTCTCAAATGTCCAAAAGACACTTAAGGAAATGCTCAACATCATTAGTCATCAGGGAAATTAAAATCAAAACCACTCTGAGATTCCATCTTACACCGATCAGAATGGCTAAAAAAACAAACAAACAAAAAAACCTATGACAGCTTATGCTGGAGAGGATGTAGAGAAAGGGGAACACTCCTCCATTGCTGTTAGGAATACAAACTTGTACAGCCACTGTGGAAATCAGTATGGCGATTTCTCAGAAAATTAAGGACCAACCTACCTCAAGACCCTGCAGTACCACTGTTGGGCATATACCCAAAGGAGGCGCATTCATGCCACAGGACATTTGTTCAACTCTGTTCATAGCAGCATTATTTGTAATGGTCAGATCTTGGAAACAACCTAGATACCCCTCAACCAAAGAATGGATAAAGAAAATGTGGTATATGTACACAATGCGGTAGTACATCAGTAAGAAACATCAGTATTGCATCAGTAAGAAACAATGACATACTAAAATTTGCAGGCAAATGGGCAGAACTAGAAAAAACATCCTGAGTAAAGTAACACAAAACCAGAAAGACAAATATAGCATGTACTCACTCATAAGTTGATACCAGACATAAAGCAAAAGATACCCAGCCTACAATCTACAACCCCACAGAAGCTTGAACCCTCTTCCAGAAACAGATAGAAGCAGAGGCAGCAATCCACAACTGACCAATGGGGCAAGTTCCTAGAGTACAGTTGAAGTGAGGGGACAGAGATGATATGAACAAAGTAGTCAAGACCCACAGAATCAGCTGACCCGAGCTAGTGAGAGATCGCTGACTCGGGTCTGGCAAATGGGGAACCTGCACAAGCCCAAACTAGACTCCCTTAATATAGGTGACAATGGTGTGACTGGGAGAATACATGAGGCCACCGACAGTGGGTCTAAGACCTAACACTAATGCACAGACTGACTTAGTGCACCCCATTCTATAGGGAGAGATACCTTGCCCAGCCTAGCACAGGGCTGTGGGGCTGGAGAGGTGCCTTGGTCCTGCTTCAATGAGATAAGATGATAGGATAGACTAAGACTTCCTAGGGGAGGCCTTACCCTCTTCCAAGGAGCAGATGGGAGGAATGGGGGGGGGGGGGTAGGGAAAGTGGGAAGAGAGGAGGGAGGGGGAACTAGGTCTGCAATGCTAGAAAATAGAGAGAAGGTTGTTTGAGAGCAGGATAGTATGGATAGTGGCACTCAGTCACCGTAAGCTAAAGCAGCGCAGGCAGAAGGTGTCTGTGGTCCAGCACATATGATTTAAGCATGTCACTTGAAGGTGAGCTTGAGCACTGGATGCTGTTAATACAGCCAGGTCAGCATTCCGGAAGGAGCTGGATCAACTCAGCTCCCTCAGTGCTGTAATAAGCTATAAATTATTTGACTGCAGTTTCTATGGGTTTAATCTCTCACCTGGTGAACCCTAATAAATCTTACTCTTAAAAATGTAGTCTTGCTTGACACAAGGCTGGTTTATAGCTGTGCTTTTGAACATGCTTTCAATGAAGAGCTTTGAGGAAGCTGACTGTTCTGTGGGGTCCTTGAGCACAGACCTGAGTGTTGTCCTTTTCTCTTACAGCCCACAAGGAGATACATTCCCAGCAAGTGAAGGAACACAGGACCGCAGTTTTGGATTTCGTTGAAGATTACTTAAAAAGTATATCATTTTCTTCTAAAGGTCAAATGTGGTATTTCATAAGAGATGCAATTTAGAATAGAGCTGAAGACCATAGTGTCTCATTAGTGTTAATGATACCTTTGCCTGAGAAGCCATTTTAAATGCTCTCTGTTCTGGTATTTTCTGCTTCAACAGGAGTGTGTAAGCTTTACTCTGAACAAAGAGCCATCCGAGTTAAGCGTGTGGTGGATAAGAAGAGACTGTGAGTATTTCCACCTTTCCTCTTCCTTCCTCAGTTAAAACAGGAGCAACAGGAATGGCAGCCTGAGCTCCTCACGCCCTGACTCTGTGGGCCTCTGTGCATGAAATCATCACCAAATGCTGTCATAGCCACTGAGGACATACTGTGTACCAGGTGTGCTGGTCACTCTGTTAGCCACAGGAGCCCTTGAGGCATTTCCTGATAACACTGTGGTTCAGCAAGTTTTAAACTCACGAGACCCCCACATTCTCCTGGCAGCTGAACTGGTAGTGAGCACTTACCTAATTCTATTTTTTTGTTGGGAGTAGTAGGGAGACAATCTGGCTATGTAGTTCATGCTGGCTTCAAAGTCATTATGCACTCCAAACTGGCCTTGAACCTGTATTTTTTCTGCTTCAGCATTCTGCATATGTATGTGCCACCCACCCAGCATTTCACCCCATTTCTTAATAACCCTGAGGTGGGACACTTGGAGCTATTGACCTTGGTCTTTGTCCCCATCCCCTATACTCCTTCTCTGAAAGTTTTTCTGAAAAGGGGTTTCCATGGTGACGGATGCTCCCCTATGTCGCTGACAATGTGACATAATATATTGAAGATGCCACGTGCACTGAACTCCCACCCTCACTCTAACACCCTTTTGGGCATGGTGGCTGCAGTTTGTCCGGGGAGGACCCAGAAGAGCAGGTCCAACCCTGGTGTAAGTTTAGCTATCAGTATGGTAAGGAGAGCAGTCACTGCTCTCATAGCCCCCAGAGGAGAGGCAGCTGTGTCTGCTGTGCTGTTACATGTAGAGACAAGAAGAGGCCTCAGCACACACAGCTTCAGCCTTGCTTCTAAGCAGAAGTCTCCACTGATGTCAGTCAAATGGGAATTGTATGGAGTCAGTCAGTCACCTGCCGAATAGCTGTTCTCAGCAATTACCCTGATGAACAGAAGACCTTGGAGACCTTGGAATAACTGTAACTCTTCACAGTGTGGCCTAGACCTCTCCTCTTAGACTTGAATTTCTCAGGCAGGCCTTAAGCTCTGATCATACTGCCTCATCCTCCTAGATGGTGGGATTGTGGAAATGCAGGCCTGGGTTACCACCCTGACTTCTTTCTAGTCTTTCTTCATCTTTATACACAAGACATCTGCTTAAAACATTCATATAATTTCATACATAATCTTATGCCTGCCTCCCTTATGCACAGGCATCACAAAGGCCAAACATGGCAAATTCAAGGCTATAGTGACTGTATTACAGCTTTTGTTTCTAAATCAACCCCCAGTGGCATCTGCTCCGCCAGCCCATGTGTGACTCTGTTCTAAAGGAGCTTTGTTCTTTATGAATTCTCCATCCATAGAACCTTTCACACAGCCTGTGCTGTTCATCTGGTGGACAAAAATCCATACTCCTCCTTCCAGCCCAACTCAAACACCGCCACCTGCCCTGTGAAGTGTTCCAGCTGCTGCCAGCAGTGCTGCATCAGCTGCTGCCAGCAGTGCTGCATCAGCTGCTGCCAGCAGTGCTGCATCTCCCTTCCTAGTAGGTTCCTCGTGTGTTGTTCATGGCCAGGTGCAGCACACGCACTCATGCAGTCACCATTGACTTGTGTCTCCTCACACACCTCAGCCTATCACACAATGCCTGTCCTTTGGGGAGGCCAGTGGGTGGTGTGCACAATTGTTCTATCTACTGTTCCGTTTGGGTTGCTGATGGCTGTAGTTAAGACATTTTGATGAGTCTAACTGCTCATGTTCTGTGACATTGTTGCCACTATCTCCTCTATCTGTGAAGGAAAACATACTTGCTAAAGTACAGCTTGCTCACTGTCATTGCTCACTGTAATGTCTTAAAAGTGTGGATAGTATTACGTGGTCGCTTTTGTTCTTGTAGAGGATGTCACATCCGTCTACCATACTAAAGAGCTCTTACTTCAAACTGCTGAAAATATTTTTGCTCATTAAGCCAGAAGTATTCCCAGCTGACTGCTCTGCACTCTCCTACAATGACTATGCTGTCTGTAAATGATGGTGTGTTATTAAAAGTACCTGTTTTCTGAGCTGACAGTGGTGGTACCTACTGCATGTTGTCTCAAGCCAGAGAGGGATAACTACCCTGGGCACCCCACCTCTCTGCTCTTTTTCCTAGAAGTTTGGAAGTAGGGACCATTGTTTTCTGACTCTCTGATCAGTGCATTGATCAAAGCCTGCTATACAGTAGATGCTCAGCCATTGATTCCTGACTGAAGGAGACTTCAAATAGGACATGGCTGCTTACTCTTGCTCTTAGAGTTACAGAGTGAAAGCCTACAAACTAGAAATATGTGGGCCAATATTGGATGAAGTATTGGCACAAGTGGCCCTATCATACATCCCCAGAGGATATGAAATCCACCACTTATCCTCTTGGTCTCCTTAAATCTCTAGTATATTGGGGTGATTGAAGCTGAAATGGCCATCACACATCCTGGACTAATCAGAAACATGCTGTCTCCAGAAAAACAGTTTGTATGTTATTCACCTTTTTTTCCTTCGCAGTCAGTAAGAGGCTTTAGGTAGCCCTCTTAGAATCAAGACTAGCCTGAAACGTGTCTGCTAGTGTAGAGGTGCCTTCCATACTGTGCAGTGAGTGTTGGCTTTTGTTTGTTTTCCTGTTGACTTGGCTCTGAGATTTACATGGTTCGGGCCATTATCTGAACCCTTCACTTTTCTGGGGCAGAGTTCTTATGAGTGGAAACCTGTGGGGGGGACATTCTGTGTCTGAGGGAGATCTGACAAGAATGAAAACTGATGGCTAAAGATTATAGCTTCCTCAAATTCTTAGCAGGCTACAAAACCAGGTCAGAAGGCATCATTCCACAGAAGCTGCAGAGCTCATCAGTGTATCTTGAAGCTGTGTTATTAGCATATCCCCCACCACAGATCCTGAAGATAAACGACTTTCTGAAGGTATTCAGAAATCTTGGTGGTCCAAGTAAAGCTTACTCTGACAATGGAGTCTATTGTTGGACTGGAGAAACACTATGTCCAGAGATCTGTTTGCATGGGCTCTGTTTCATGAAGACACCTTCCTAAAGGGAGCATCAAACCCTTCTTCTGCCCAGGTCAACACACACCAAAAACCACTGCTGTGATCCGCAGCCACAACCCCCTTACATTCTCTGTTATGTGTTCCCTGCTATCAGTACAAAGAAGGAAGTTCATGCTGCTTTTCTTGTTCTTTAGAGAAGATACCAATTCTTGTGTGACACATAGCATCATGTACTGAACTTGTACTTAAAGAGTCTATTTATTATTCAGCCCTTTCTCCTCAGCAGGACCATTAGCTTGCTGCAGCCCCTGACTTAGGATCCTGCACATGGCGAGAGCTCAGTAGATGCTGCCAGTGTTTGGCATGGCCATAGTGATGGAGATGGAGAGGAGAAGAGGCAGAGATGCCATGTGATAGGAGGGCCACAGTGATGACTCTCCCTCATTTACTGTCTATGATGGGGCTTTGTTTACCTAGAAAAGGAGTAGCAGACTGGCCTGTGGACTTTGGCCTGTTTTTGTATGGCTTTCCAGTTAAGCATGGTTTATTGTATTTTAAAAGATCTGTAAACCAAGAAAGAAGAATGTGAGTTAGAGCTTGAAATTTTCACCATCTGGTCTTTTACTGTGTTGATCCTGGCATAGAACAACACCCCTGGTTGTGAAGGGCCACATCTTTGTAGTCTTAGCAGTCTGCCAGGGACTGCTAAGATATGTTAGTCTCCTGTGCATGACAGGGTCACAGCTATGCCTTGGGTGGCCTGCCACAGAGGTCTGATGACAGCATCTGCTCTATACCATGTTCAGTGAGACAAAGGCACTGTCAGGGTGCTGTGCGTTCTTGCCCCTCATCTTGTACTTAACTCATGGCAGATCAGTGACAAGCAGTATGGAGTCTGGTACTAGTCTGTGCACCACACTTTGAGGAGCACTTACCTTAAAACAACTTCCCTAGGAAGTGGTAGATGCCCAGTATATATATACCTGTCAGGTGGGTGCCTGCCTGATGGAGGAAGTGGCTTAGGTAGAGTGAGTTGACTCCCACTGTCCCTGTGACTCAGAGGCTTCTGTAACTCAATGCCACTGTGGAGTAGGCACTGTGATGTCATGCTCCAATCTCTGCCCTCTGTGTTGGGGCATAACAGACAGAGCAGTCCTTCTGGATTGATAGTGGCTTTTCCCTGTGTTTGCAAAGTGTGCTTTCATTCTCTTCCCTTTTTCCTTCAAAACCAAGACCTGTCTCTTTTTCTCTTCTTGTTCCTTTACAATCTCAAATACAATTCCAAGGCCTCTCAAAGTCAGGGACCTGGGAACAGATGTGGGGACTTGTGTTGATCCCTGCTAGACAGTGCCCGGCCTTCAGTTTGAGAAGTACACTGAAGTAAATTAGGCATAAACTGATCTTTCTGGTGACTTTTTTAAAAATTGCTCTCCTCCCCCCTCCCCCCATGCCTTTATCTGGCTAATTTGTAATTTCCCTGAGGATTTCAGTAGACATTCTGTATATAATTAGAATCTGTTTTTATCACCTTAAAAAGTGTTCATCTTTGTCTCTGTCTGCTTCTCTGCAGCCCTTTCTTTACTTTACATTGAAAACGGGCACTGCCACACTCCAGACATGAGGGTGATGGGCATTAAATGAAATGTTCAGTCAAGAGGCAGTGCAGCCCATGCCCTCCTGAGCCAACAGTCCTGAAACCAGGAGATGGGGAGGGGTAAAGGTGAGTGTCTGCTGGTGAGGAGGCCTGCTGCCCAGGGTAGGGTGTCAGGGAGGGCAGGTGGTCAGAGAGGCAACGAGAGGCATGCACAGATGGGTGTGTCCTCTCCAGGAGGGGAAGTGTAGAGGTGGAGCTGAGGGTGTTGGCTCACACAGGTGATCCAACAGCTGATAGAGAAGGTAGAGCAAGCCAGTTTTGTCACCGTGTAAAAAAACTGAAAAGGTCAGGATGCTTGCTTAGACTTTGTGGTATGGGTTAGAATGA